TATGCGTTTTTGCTGCCTGTTGCAGCGCTCTAGCGCTGCACGGCAAAAACGCATAATCACCATAAACCTTACATAAAGTAAATGTAAATGTACAACTTTCATCTAACATAAAGTAAATGTACAACGTTCTTTAAAAGCAACCTAGCTGTTCAGTGAGAAATTTTTCCGCCAAAACTTTTAAGTGCCCGTACATAAGAACCACGTATACCTCAAGGCTGAATTTGAAATACTTAAGTTGTACTTCGACAGGGAACATTCCACTAAAATCTCAGCTTTTTAGCTTTTCTGGTTCCTGAGTTAATAATTTTTCTGCAGAAACTTTCATACGCCCTTACGCGAGTACCATGCATAGCTTGGAGCTGGACCTGAAATATTTGAGTTGTACTTGGACAGGGAAGATTCCCCCCAAAATTTCAGCCTTCCGGCTTTCTGGTTGTCGAGTTAGCAATGTTCCCGCCTAAACTTTTACATGCCCGTACGTGGGTACTCCACGTGCCTGGGAAAGTGAATCTGAAATTTTTGAACTGCACGTGAACAGGGAACATCCCCTTAAAACTTCAGCCTTCCAGCTTTTCTGGTTGCCAGGCTGGGGGCTGAATTTGAAATCTTTAGCTAGTACATGTACAGGGAATATTCCTACAATGTTTCAACCTCTTGGCTCATGTGACTCCCGAGATCGCCTTCCCGCCAAAGAAATTGCATATTTTTTTAAAGCGCCCGTACGCGGCCCCTAGGCGTCTGCGGAGAATGAAATTGAAACGGGAGGGTCGCGCGTGGTATGGGAACATACTCCCAAAGTTTCAGCATTCTAGCTTTTCTAGTTCTTGAGTTGAAAGTGGGTGACAGAAAGTACGAATACACAGACACACACATACACAGCCTCTTCCCAATGTGCGTTTTTGCAATTTGCATATATGCAAAAACGCATGAAAACGCACAAAAACGGATTTTTCTGATGACGTATCCGCCTCATCATCTATACATATATATATGAAACAATATATACGTATGAAACAATATATATATATATATATATTGTTTCATTACCATCGGAGGCCATCTCATCCATCACATGTAAATACCAAATGTACTGAAGCAGCTGATGGAAGAGACTCAAGAAACGATGAGACACATTTCAGGACAATACCAAACAGGCAGCATCGATGTAGGGAAACATTTGTGACAAGCTACTGTGGGTACCTACTAGATGAATGCGCTCAATTATTTTGGACTTACTCCTTTGATGGTTAAATAATCTAAGCAGCATCGAGAATTTAAACCCAGTAGTGGTACGCTCCAGAGGGGCTGAAACGACCATGTGCTTTTGTGACCAGATAATTCGCTGCCGTTTGCACATGGACTGAAAAAATCCTCTCAAAATTTGTGCTTCTTCATGTTCTCTGAATTAGTAATTTTCCTGCCAAAACTTGCATTTGTCCGTACAGGAAATCCAGGCGTGCTAAAGAACTGAATCTGGACGTCGAATATCCCTCAAAATTTCCTAGCTTTTTCGGCTATCATGCTAGTAAATTTCAAATCAAAAATTTCGCGTGTTCATACTTGAGATTCTAAAGTGCTTAACAGTTGAATTTGAAATCTCTGGGTCGTAAGTGGAGAGGTTTTCAAAACGTCAGCTTCCAGCCTTTCTGCCCCCCGAGCTAGTATTTCCCCGTCAAAGCTTTCATGTGCCTGTACATGAAACACACGCAAAGGTTGGATTCAAATTTGCATAAAAAACGCCTAAAAGCCCAATTTTAGATTAGTCGTCATGTATCACCCAGCGAACGACGCTTTTGATGTAGCTTTCTTGGTTTTTAAGACGAATATGAACCTAGCAGGTTAGAACAGAAAGCACTTCGCAGCCCTCTACAGCCTTGTACATTGTTAAGGACTGCGTTTTCTAAATTTCAACGTTTAAGTTTTCGCAGTTACTGGACTGAATTATGCAGAAAGGCAAGCACGCACACACATACAGACACAAGCACACGTACAGTGAAGATCATGTCAAAATGCATTTTTGGAAAAAAATCAAGTGTGCAAAAACACTTGAAAAACTTGGCATGTAAAGGCCTAGGGACCAATCAATTCTTTTGAATCTGTCTTGTATCATTGGTGTGACTCCAAAAAGGCTTTCTTACGCACCGTGATAAAGACCGGAAGCTCGTTTCTGCAAAACATTTAAGCGGGGCCCACTAAAGAAATCGAAAGTTTTTTCGAATTGCGAAATCTCCTCCTCTTGTCTCAACCCTCCCCGCCCCAGCCTGAAGACCCCCTTCGTTCCGCAAAAGAAAAATCGTCCGCCAAAAAAGTCTTCGCTGATCGCACTGAAAAGGACTTTGGTTTTGTGCTCCATCTGCTTCAGTGTGGCATTATTATAATGCTTTTGAAAGAGGGCGTTGCTAGTTTCTTTTTGAAGCATTCAGGCACTTCCAGGCCCGTCTCGTTGTTCCTTTGCGTGATCTGTCACACCTCCAGATGAATTCTGCACCAACAACGGCCAAATTTTGCATTTTTTTTTCACTCAAATTTTCGCATTTCTCTTTTCTGACGAACGATTTCGATGTCTTGTGGCCTCTCCCTTCCTCTACCAAAGTCGACCACCAAATCACTAAAGTCTGCCGAGAGGTTTGATGAGTTGCGACACAGTCTTACTCCATAGCCCACAAGGGGAATAAAAATTTTATTTTTTGCGATTACGAAATTATACTGTGCAAATATTTTTAAGACACGTTGTGGGCTGTGAAAGCAGACACTGCGAAGAACCTCGGAGGATGGATAATGATCTGAGAGCTGTTAAAATTAACTGCTTGATATGTTTAAAATTGAGATTATGCTTCATCTGCTCACTCTGCAAAACGCAAGTATTTACAAGTAGAGAATGGAAAGTGGCAAAAACAGAGGGCAGGAAACTTGCTAATTCGGAAACCAGGCAAGGTAGGAAGCTGAGATTTTACGAAGATATTTTCTGTTAACGGGCGTACCAAACATTTCAGATTCAGTCAACAAATATGCCTGGTTTTCATGTATGGATATGTGGAATATTTGGCGCCGGGTTAACCTTTTTGTCCTGGCTCAAAAACCATTGAAATCCGTGGATTACCCAGCGGTCGCAAAATGCGCTGTGAGTGGCAAGCAATTCACCAAGACGCTGCAGAAATTTGTTGCGAGCGCGTGGCCGGCAGCAGGGCAGAGGGTGAGAGCAGCTGAGGACTTAAACGTACGGCCAAAAAAATCCTCGAAAAGTTAACGTTCATATCCGATCAATCAGAGCTACTGCAAATTGGCGGGGCGTTGCAGGGAGCAGTTATACGAGTCGCAAGACGGCTCGTATCAGCAGCATCAGGGAATGCATTCTGGCACTTCAATTTCGCGCACCCACCTGGCCGCGGTTCGTGAGATTTGTGAGAAGACTTACCGTCTTGCCGCTGTACACTGACTGGCCCGGTGCTTGATGCCACAGCTTGGTCCGGTCGGGTGTCCGATACCGCGGGGAACTGGCCTGCTGCTGGTCTGTTGCTCGACGGTGTGGGGACTCAGTTCGATAGCGCATCTCCAGCGGTGGAAGCATTCCGGCGAGGAACGACGAGCTGCTGCACCGCCAGCAACAACGTGGCAGCGAGCGACCAGCGGCCAGCTAGTCCGCCGAGAATCGCATCGAAAAAACGAACAATCGGCCGCACTTCAGCGGTGCAGCGGCGGTCACGCTGCATTGAGGAGAGTTATCGGCGGCGGAGCAACAACTGAGTGAAGCAACACAGCGATGGCCGGCAAAGGCCCCGCCACAGCCGCAGTGCCCTGAGCCAGCCGGGGAATAATGGCTTGCTATACAAAAACAGAAAAAAAAATACGAACCCGGGGGAC